AATTGCCATAACTAAGCTCCACAACAAGATACAAGGCTCTTATTTTGTATACAGGATCACAATAGGGAGGGGCATCTGCAGTTAAAATTTTTTGGGTGTGCTCTCGCCTCTAATAGGTTTAATATGCATATCTCCTAAACCGCTAATGCTATAATAACAAAATTCACTGGAAGCAAATTTTTTTAGCACTTCTATTGACGGTGTGAAAATAGTTGAAATCGGGTGGCAACTCCGCCCACTCCCCATATAACGGTACTGTTAAAAACTACTAAAAGCGCGATAAATCAAGCACTAAACACGCCAGAGACATTAAATTTTATCTCTGAGATGGTATGAGATGACTTTATAGGAACTGCGTTTAAAATTAGACAGTGGGCGTGGCACCGCCCACTTTTAGGTGAAAACTCATATCTTGGGATCTACTTAACCGATTTCAACCAAATTCGGTGTATAACGTTCTTTCTATTTCTATGTCATAGTGCGAAAATGGGCTAAATTGGACTACAACCACGCCTATTTCCCATATAATACCATTTTCAATTCCATCTGATTCTTTCACATTCCACTATGCATATCAAGCAACAATGATTATATCGGGATAAAACTTTGCGTGAATAATACGTTTAAAGTACGCCACCTTGTGACCAAAAATTGTCTAAATCTAACCAAAACTGTTCAAGCCCCTAAGTACTAAATATGTGGAGCCCAGTGCCAGTGTCGCAAACGAGTATACCATTTGACTTTGCGAGAGTATAAAATGTTCGGTTACATCCGAGCTTAGCCCTTCCTTACTTGTTCATATCGCATTTATAGGTATTAGCGCTTGATAGCTCAATAATATGATAAATTAATGATGCCTGGAAAATTCCTTCGTGGTCGTTTGTCGGAACCGCTGATTTCGGACCATTATAGCATATAGATGCCATACAAACTGATCAATCGGAATCAAGTACTTTTATGGGAAACTTTTTTATTTGACGTAATATCTTCACAATTCAATTTGGTATGAGTTATTTTCTAAAGCAACAATGTAATCTCCAAAAAATTGTTGAGATCAGATCACTATAGCATGCTGCTGCCAAATGAACGTTCAGCATCAAGTTCTTGTAAAGAGCCTTTGTATTTGTGAAAGGTATTGTAGCTCCGGTGCAACCAAAGTTAACGTTTTTTCTTGTTATTGTTGCAATTATCACAACAGTATACAAAATATGTAAGTACTTTTTTAAGGCTTCTTAAAGTTTTCATAATAATAAATTTTTTCATTAATTTTTAGCGATTTTTAACTTTTCATTACTTATCCTACACCCTATATAAGGTTGCTTTAAAGCAATATATTTAAATTCTAAAATTACATAACTCTCTTTCGAATGTTTGTGTGTTACCAACTCTAAAATTTTTCAATTCACTGCATTCGCGTGCTAATGCTTTACTGTGAACTACCAATTGATTCTGCTTGCATTGAGTTAACATAATTATTTGCCATTTCATATGCAGACACTGAATACATGCATGCCTTCATTTATTCTGTGAGCATTTTATATTTTTATATTGTATGACATGAAAATTAACTCCAATAGAATTTGTTTGTATGCAATTGTGTCGGCAAATAGCATAAATTATGAAATCTGCATACAAATGTCAAGGTCTGATTTGTGCTATGAATAAAATTAGAAGCAATACAATACTTTTGCATTGCAAACACGAAATTACGCGCAGGCAAACATATGCGAGTATGTATAAATGTGTATGTGTATGTACACGTGTAAATGTATAGCTCATAAGCAGCAAAATATAATGGCAGATCACATGCTTGCATATAAGGTATGTGCATGTGTAGGTGTGTGTGTGTGTGAAGAGAAAAAGTGTTATAAGTGTCTGCGAGAGTTTTCGCTTGGAGCAATATATCTTCATATATGTACAATATATATATTTGCTATGTTGTATGAATATGCTTAAGTAACTGCATGCATTTTAATAAGCAACATGGCGTTTATCAGACAACTTTTCCCCAGTGTACGAGCAATTATTCTATATGGAACCTAATTAAAACTCAACACCAATTTGTCCTGGTTTTTTGTATTTGACGTGCTTGCTTTTGTTTTAGTTTATTTTTTGTTTGTTTTTTGTTTTTTTTTTTTGTTTTTTTGCTTTTTGAAGTGAACGACAGGCGCTTAGGTGCCTCATATGCTGCTCGGTCTGTGTGGCAGTGAGTTTGCCAAGAAATAGAGATAACATTGCTTTATATAAAAGTATATTTACACATTTGTATATATATATGCTGGTATATGTGCGAAGCTGCTGTTACATAAATATGTACATATAAAAATTAGAGTGAACCAAAAAAAAAAAAAAAACCAAAACTATTAATTTCTTTTCGTTAGATAACATGAAAATATCATTTGAAAAAATTGGCACTGGCCAACGATTATTTTATATAAGATGTAAAATATTGCTGCACTCTTAATCTAGAGATTAATGCAAAAATATTGTCAACATAGTTTGAGCTTGAGAATATTGTTGTTAGCAGGTTATTTTCCAAAAAAATAATACAGCAATTAAATGAAATTTTTTTTATGAATATATAATATAATATAAACAACAAAGGTCATAAGAAATGTTATTTTATTATTTTGAGGCATTATTTTGTGAAATAATGTAAAAAATTGTCAAAATTTATATATCTTTATGAAAAAATATTTATATTGAAAGTTGGACTTTGACCTTGACTATCTTTTAAAAGAGTTGATGTACATAACACTTTCTAAGCCGTTTTTTGCCGTTGAATCCCCTGTAAGAATAAGTCTTAATTTTTACAATAAAATTTTTTTAAAAATATTTTAAGAAAATATTATTATTAGAATATATTATTTATAAGGAAAATCAAAAATTGCAATTTGTCAGCTGCTTATATTATCTATTGTTAAGAGTTAAAACTTTACAAAATATTATACGTCATTTCAGACGATATTTTCACGTTATCTAAGGAAAAAAATTTAAATATTTTTTCGGCGCACCCTAATATATACATTTGTATATATATATATACAATATATCTATATGCTTAAGTATATATATATATACTTAAGCAGGAGCGTCAGAAGTTTTATTTGAGCCCAGTTGAATATATAGAAGTATGCACATAAGTATATATTATGGTACATATATATATATAAAAATTTAGGGTAGTGTAAAGTATATACTTAAGTATATTCATGTACATGCTAAAGGCATCATTGGCAATCACCTTAAGGTTATTGACTTTTGGCGAACTTTGGCGAATGTGTGTTAGATTTAATTGCAAATGAAATGAGATAAAAATTGTGTGTGAAAATGCAAATAAGTTTATGAATTTATTATAAAATATTTGTGGTAAAGCACATGGAAGCCCACTAAACGGTAAACGTAATAAAAAAATTGTGGCATACGTAGAAACGGCAGAGTATGTGGTGTCTGTATGTGTGTGTGAGTGGTATTAATCATAATTAAGCAGCTCTTTCATGAGTGTCTGGCGCACATGGCGTTGTTAATCGTTTTTTAAAAACACAGTCAACACGCACGCCAACAACGTCATCGAGTACACTTATGTGGTTGACATGCTGGAAGCTGGCAACCTAGCAAGCTTTCACTGCGCTGACCTAAGACACTACGAATATAAAACGACCGTATGCGGAGCGTTATTGCAGCGTTGTGGTGCACGACTGACGCGAATGCCGTTTATTTAATGCGTGTAAATGTGGTTGACACGAGCACAAGTGAGTTGCCCGACTCACATGCTCACATGCACACCCATACATGCGTAACATACAAACAATGTGTAAAGCAAAGAGAAATGCGCTAAATTTTAACGCTCAGTGAGACTTTGGGACACCGTTGGCGCTCTTTGGGACATAGCTACCGATGCGGCAGTGTGAGCAGGCTCTGGAAAAAGAATTTCCAACACAGTTTGGGACAAAGCTTCGAATGTGTGACATTGGAAGGTTGTGAGCATTGAGAGCGTAACTGTTAAAGCAAATGATGTTTAAATCCAATAAGGCAAAATACTAAATGTAGAAAGGAAAGCACGAAATTATAAGTAGGTATTTGGTGTTAGAAGTTAATATTTTAATTAAAATACAAACAATTCAAAATTTTATTTAAGCATAAATTTTTATTTTAAGCAACAACTAAAACAACTTTTTGAAAATTAAAAATATTAAATAAAACAAAACCATATTTTTATATTTTGAAAAACACTCGCTTGCATCTGAATTACTCGCAAACTAAACATATGCTTTTTGGTGCTTACTGCACCTGCTAGTGTAGTAGTATTGCACCAGCTAGTGGCGCAAGCGCGCTTAATATTTATATGTTAACATTCAGCGTGAACAACACCCATAATTCAGCATAAGCAGCAAGAGCGCAGAGTTGTGCTGCGAGTACCAGTCATGCTCTTATGAGAAGAGAAACCACATGTTCATGAGCGTCAGAGCGGCACGTGAGACTACGTAACGCCACATTCATAGTGCGGCTAAAGGCGCAGGGCAACACATGCTGTGCTCGTGTCTGTTTTGGCTACCTCAAAGCAGTGTCAACTAGCGCCACTAACGGCCTACGCGCCACACTATGTGGCTGATAAACATTGTTCCGAGTATTTTTGTAGCACACTTTAAGGCGTTTTCGCCAGTAAAGTAGCATTTATGGCATACCTGCCGCTCTCACAGCCTAATTATGCCATATACCATAACGATGTAAGTGCTCTTAGCACACAATGTGCCGAAAGCACGCTTGAGCTCTCAACACTTCCAGCAACTGTGCTCTCATTATAGCTATTGCGCGCTGAAATTTCTCCGGTTTCTAGGCTAATACGTATACACAAACGTATATGTATGTATATAGTTATATATGAAAATGTCTCTCTTCTGTCGTCGTCGCATTAGCAATAACAACAGCATAAAGCTAGGCATTGAGTAAGGATATCAAACAATCACAACAAAATCTGCAATTACAACAAAGTTTGCCAGCAAACTCTTCGTCGCCTGTGCTCGGCTGATTTTTTATGTTAACGTGCTGTGACTTTTTCCTTGCTGTGCCGTATTGTTCCTGCTTGCGCGTGTGTGTGCGTGTGAATTTTTCCAGGCCTCCGTCCTAGTCTTCGGCGTGTCGACGGAGTTGGTTAACGCTTTACAGCAGCAGCAGCAGCCACTAGTCGCATTACTAATGTCGTCGCCGTTCGTACATGTTGTGCCCGCGTCCGTATCCGTGTCTCTGTTCAACGCGTAGCCATCGTGTTCGTCATTAACGCTGTTGTTTACACGTTTTTATCCGTAGTAACGTAGCTGTAATTACGACACTCGTCGCGTAGTGTCGCCCATTTCTTTAAAGAATTTTCCAAATCACAAAAGAAACATTAACACACGTGTGACGGAAGTGCTCCAACAGCTTTCGGCTGGCCCTAAGTTTGGTGTAAGCGTCTGGGCGCCAATGTGACCAAATGTGTTTGCGTACCGTTAACTAGTTAGCCAACGCCGTAGACATTGCGTGGTGCGTTGAAGCGTGTGTCTTTTATTCAAGAAGAATTAAAGCAAATTGGCGCCTGTGGTTATTTGTTGTATAGCGCGTTTAATCAATCTGACAACCACATACACAGTCATATAGAAGTATGTTTGAATTTCTTAAACCATTCCTGTGCTGGCGCTCTGTGTCAAACAGTGTTACCGTGTTATGTTGAGCTTGAGCGTGTCACAACATTGAGATATCCGACATATACGCTTACACACATACATACAAACATACGTTATGTGAAGCAGTGAAGCGTGTATATGCTTTCCGGTCGAAGTGATTTAATTGATTCCATGCCATTCAATTCGATGCCATACAATACTGTAAGATAATTCGTTTGCCATTCAATTTATTTCTGTCTGTGGTGAAAAAGTTGTTGTTGCTTTGCGTATGAGCAATAAATTGGCAAAAAGCGAAAGTTGAAATCGTCTGCCCATAGCACACATACACACACATAAACACACATACGTGTAAGCTCAAGTGAGTAATATGTGTTTTAAGCTTGTATGTGTATGCTATAGCCATAAGATATATATAATGTACATATAATATACAAACATACATACTTTAGTGTGTTCCACCTACAATTCTGGTATTTGCAGCAGTTCAAAGCATATAATCAAAAGCGAATTAAAGCGCCACAGGCCAACTCATTTCAATTATAGCTGTGCATTTAATTCATACTGTTTACAACTTGACTATTAAAGTGTTGTGTTCTGGCAAATTTTGAAGCTCACGTGGTGAGTGCGTGGATTGTAAGAAAAACCCGGTGACAATCAATAAAAATAAAAACAACAACAAAGTAACGCTGCTTGAAAGGATTAAGTTTTTAACAAAGCAAATAAAAAAGTGAGTCACAGGGTGCTGCACAAATTCACTAATATCTACTTATGCTGTTTTGAAAATTAAACAGGTAATTGAGTAACAAAAGCACTGTTTTTTCCTTTGTATACAAAATAAGATGTAAGCCTCATGGCGATCACACTTTAGCGAACTCGAAATTGTACAGTTTTAAAGTAGAAATTAATTCATTATTTTCTTTTGTTTCTGAAACTAAAAAGAAAATTAATTATTTGTTCGATTTCTACAAAAAACTTCAGTTTCAGTTTCGCATACTGTCATTTTGCATATTTTCCTTACCGATAATATCAAGATATGATATAAATGACCAATTTGTTCAAAATTACGTTCATATGTGGATAAATATAATTTGTTTGATATTTATGTCTAGATGTGTTTACTTACATTAGTGGCATATTAAATCCATATCGGTGTGGCAGCTGTTGTGTATTCATAATAACTATACTCTGAACAGGATGTTTGTAACAGCCAAAAGAAAACATCGGAGACTCTACAAATATATGTATACATATCCATGATCAGCATTATGAACTGAGTCAATTTTGCCATGTCCTTCTGTCTGTCCATCCGTCCGTCTGTATATCGCGAACTAGTCTGTTAGGTTTTGAGCTATTGGTCTGAAATTTTGCACACGTACATTAGTGGCTGAACAAACTGAACGGTCGGAATTAAGTGCTTGTTTGGAAAACTTTTTCATTTGACGAGATCCGCTACAATTTTCAAGACATCGCTACAACTTCCGAACCTATTTTTGAGATCGGATCACTATAACTTATAGTTGTCATCCAAATTGGGCGATGAAAGTCAGAATAAGTATATTTTTATACCATTTATGCTACCAAAAATGCACCTGTGAAGGGTATTATAGCTTCGGTGCAGACGAAGTTAAATTGTTTTATTATTTTAGCTCTATTTTTATAACGCATAGTTAAATAATAATAATTAAAAAAAAAAAATTTATTTAATTTTAAATTATTTTATTGTATTTAATTTTATTTTTTTTTAAATTTTAGTTTTTTAGTATATTTAATTTTATTTTGTTTTATTTTACTTGTTTTTATTATATTTAAAAAACTATTTTATTTGTTATTTTATTTTATTTTATTATACTTAATATCATTTTGTTTTAATTTACATAATTTATTTTACTTTATTTTATTTTAATTTATTTTATTTTATAACTATATTTCATTATATTTTTATTAATTTAATTTTTTTATTTATTTAATATTATTTTATTTTATTTTTTTATATTAATTTATTTAATGTTTTTTTATTTAACCTTACTTAATTTAGTTCAATTTAATTTAATTTAATTTTTAATTCAATTTAATATAATTTGCTTTAATTAAATTTTTTTAAACTTAATTTTATTTTATTAAATTAAGATAAATTACATATTATTTTATATTGGTTTTTTTATATAAATTTATTTTATATATAATTATTTTATTTTTTTTTTATATTAATTTTTATTTTTAATATTTTATTTTATTTAAATTTAAATTTTCCTTTCGTTTAAATTTATTTCATTTTATTTTATTTATCTTTCTGCACCGTAATGCAATTGTATTAGCATATTAATTCTGGAAGTATCTACTAAAAACATTTTGGAAATTTTGGGTTACCCAAGCACGAACACTTTTAGTAGCTTAGCATTTTCAGTGCCGGTTTCTGTTTATGGATGGCGAATTGTAGACTTCAACATAAAACTGTAATTGTATAAAATATAGTTTGAAACGGCAGATATTGTTTAATTTATTTCTTACGTCAAATTCCCGCATTAATGTCAGATTAAAGTACTGCCACTTTCAAAGTTTGCATATTAGTTATATGGTTTGCTAGAAATTTAACATTATTTCATCTCATAATGAAATAAGTCGTAAAATATTAACAGGAAATGATCAGAAATAATTCTTTCCTACAACGAAAATAAATTTTTCAGACAGCATTCCAAAATTGTTTGTAAAATGTTTTCTGCGCTATCGCAGTCAAAAAACTACTCCTTGACTATTTTCAGTATCTTTTCATGGCAAATGAGCGCTTCAGGAATCAATTCAAGATCCACCCTCGCTAACGCTTATAAAAAATATATTAACAATAAAATTAACGAATCGCATGCCTTACTAAAAATTAAAATTAAAAAAGTTTTGATACAATCCAATAGTCTATTGACGTGTCTAAAACATTTTAATCGCTTTTTGTGGCAATTTCCAGAAAAGCACCACGAAAAAAGTTCGCCCAAACATATCTAAAAAAGTTCAAAATAATAATTAAATTTGGTATATATAATATAATATAAATATACATTACTGTACTTATCGCTCAAACGCATTAGTTTATAATTAGCAAATATACTTAACTGTATATGTCTCTCAAGTTATATGTAAAGATATAATTAGTATGATCTTATCTCTAATTTCTCTAATACAAAATGTTGCGTATACGACAAGACGCACAGTAATTGCCTTGCAAGCTGGAGTTATCAAAGCCATATTTTACATAAAGATGTAATTTAAGCGCAATAAAAATATATTTTTAGATACTCTAAAACATATTTTATTAGAAAAATATTGTTATATATGCAAATGCTTGTACGGCCTTTTCAACTTATTCAATATTATTGCAATAAAATATGTTTGTGTACGTTAAAAAACTAAGAGGAATGTGCGTAAAATAATATTTGAAATAATAACATGTTTAATTGCTTATATGTGTCAAATGTGCATACTTATCATTGCTTAACTTTTATGCTATTGTCATGTGCGGCATAAGTGCTACCTGATATAAGTATATTATTAGAAAATGCATCAGCAAATGTGCTGAATATTTAATGCAAAACATTTTAGTTATAAATATTGCAGTATAATTAAATTGATAGATAATTTTCAAATAAGTGCAGTCGTATTAAGAATTTGCTAATGATACATGCGCTCGATTTTTGCATAATTGATGGTATAGTTGTTTATAGTACATTAAAAGCATAATACATACACACACATGTATTTATTAATTAACTTATGCGTACACATATTATAAATGACATTTGTTGTACAAATATTTAGACTAATTAACCTTATTTGTTTCTGAGAAGCCACATATATTATATAAGTAGATATATCATTGCTATTTACAAAGTGGTTTACTAGCATAGAAAGGTATGTTTATGTATGTGTGTATGCGCAATTGCTGACTTTTAAATTAGATTTGATGATGATTCTGTTTATAAATTGAAACACTTGTTTTCATTTGCCCGAAACTGTAAATATACATTTTCGCAAAAGTCTACAAAAGCCAAGATGGTCCATCGGAGCGCATGTTTCCATTTTAAATATTATTTATATGCATACATAAATATATATATATATATATGGTAAATGCTGACCAGAGCAAACATTTCCTTTAAAATCTTTTTATATATATCAATGTCTATATGACATATATGTATATATATTTATGCATACATACAGATGTACCAAATTATTACAACTGTTTAAATTATATATGCATAAGCTTTCTAATGTAAGGACGTGATAAGTTCGGTTGTAACCAAAACCATTAATTGAATATACTTTATATATTGTGTACAGTATATGGGCGCTAAGACATAAGAAGTCAACAATCGAAAGTTCAAAAGTCTTAATGCTGAGTATATGGGGGCTTGAGGAAATATTAATCTGATATTACCAATTTTAAACAATTCTCTCTAAGTTTCAATAATATATCTCACAGAGATTAACAACTGGTTGTTAAAAGGGCGGGGTCACGCCCCCTTTTTAAAAAGTTTTAGTTGTTCCTCCATACTTTGATGCCCTTTTACCAAATTAAAGTTATGTATACTACACTTCTTCACCTGTACGGCACTTTGTGGGCCTATCTACAATGCCAACTTCCTCAGGGTATGAAGGAAGTCGTATATCAAGTTTCATCAAAATATTCCAATATTGATCGATCGAGCAGTTGACATCTGTGCCACGCATTGTGCGTCATCACACATACACATGCACGCAGACTGCACGAATGGTTGAGGGCGCGCAAATTCAAACGGTTATTTAATCATAAGCATGCATATTGAATTACATATGTATTTGTGTGACCTTGCGTACAGTTGCGTGTGTGTGTGTTCGAAGAAAATTGACTTCAATTAAAATCCAACGTCAAAAAGTCAAGAACTTTAACCGTTTGAGTCAATGAAGTGCGAGTACGTAGGGAATGATGGTGAATTATGAATGTCAAGTGATTTGTGATAAATGTCATTTATGGGTTATGTAACCTTGCTGTGAATATGAAATGGGAAATATATAAATTGTAGCGTGATAATATTGTAGCTGTTTAAGCGCAAATTGAGGAGTACTTTTGTTGAGGTTTCTGTATTTTAAGTTGTTTCACTATTTCCGTAAAGATACTAAGCATTGAGGTTTGATTTCTAGCTATAACGAGCACTCGCTACAATTGTAGATCGGAGATAGGAGAAAATATTTCCACAACTTAGTTACTAGTTACATAATGTTGGACGAAATGGCTTATATTTGAGTATGAAACATGTCTGAAGGCTTTGAAAATACCTTTTAGCTTAGTTCCCAGCTCGCAGAATGTAGGAAACTAGTAAATGGTTCGGTTAGATTTCATGAAGACGTGACTAAATTTGTAAATAAATTTAGCGAGTGTCGCAAAATATATTAAAGGGAAAATTTTCATGAACACAGGTGCCTTTCTGACATTGCTTTTTAACATATTAAAGTTATTAACTTCAAACTGAACAGGGTATATTAAGTTTAACACGAAGTTTGTAACGCTTAAAAAAAACTTCGCGAACCCTACAAATTATATATGTACCTATATAATTGATCAGAATAATGGGCTAATGAGATTAAACCATGTCCGTTCCATGTCTGTCCGTCCGTGCGTCTGTGTGTTTGTATATACGCGAACTAGTTCCTCAAGTCATGAGATATCGCTCTGAAATTCTTAACATAAAAACTGAATTATCAGAATCAAGCTCTTGCATAGAAAACTTTTTTATCTGACAAGGTATCTTCACCAAATCTGTCA